TTTATTGTGAGAAAGGGACTCACTAAGTTGCCCAAACTGGCTTGAACTTTCGATCCTCCTGCCTTAGTCTCCCAAACAGCTGGAATTACAGGTGAGCTCCACAGTGCCTGTCTCTTTTGGTCTTAAGATAAAATGTCTTTGGGCCAGGGATTTAGCTCAGCAGTTCTGCCACCTGCCTCGCAAGCACAAGGTCCCGAGTTTGATCCCCAGTACCCAAAACAAAACAAAACAAAAAATGTCTCGGAAATGACAGTGTCTGGAGAAAGAGCACGTGTAACTACAAGCATTCACAGTACAGGCCTTTAGCTCTCCAAAGATGATGTCAGAAGACAGTAATTGGCCATAAAATCATAAGGCTCCAGTTTTGAGACTCCCAAAGACTCCCGGCATGTAGCAGCACAGCCCACAGGACCACAGGGCAGCCTGCAGACTCCAGTTCAGTCTTTTTCTTTTAATTATTTCTTCTCCATAAAAACAGCACCAGGATAGAACTTATTGAGTTCAGAATGTTCCAGGGCACACAATCAGCCTGCCCTCCTTCCAACTCGCTGCAGTGCTCCGTGGCTTCCCAAGCCTCCCCCACCCCTCCTGGTCCTCCACACTGGGACAAAGGGAGGGCAGACTCCTGAAGGCCACCACTGAGCCCTCAGGGTCTCTCCATCCCAGTGCCCGAGGCAGGTGGGTTCAGACAGGCATATGCCCTCAGGTGCCTGGAAACCTGCCTTAGCCTCTGAGGGCAGGACCAGGCCCACATTTTCATTAATGGGCCAGAAATGTTTGCCCTCAATTTACCTTTCTGATGGTGCCTGGGGAGGAATCCTGCAGGAACCCTGCTGGGTCTGAGGCCTGCCTCGAGGGCAGCAGTTTCTGGCCAGAATTTGATGTTATTGTTTCCTCTATTTTTAGGAAGATCTTTTTATGATAATTGATACTGATTGCTTTTTTCAAAACAAACTTACCCTTTTAATAAAAAAAATACATGAGTTGTTTAAAGGAAAAACACTGTTCCAGTTGTGCAGGGGATGTATCCAAAATTAAGTTTGGGGAATTCCAAGTACAATCCTGCCGCTGACATTTGGAGCACTTCCTGGCATCACTGTCCTTCACACACTTCTCCTAACGGGGGCATCTTCCGCCAACTCTGAGTGGTTCCACAGCCAAGCTGGGTCCACAGAGGTGCCACCCCTGGCAAATGGGGAGGTGCTTGCAGGGTGCTCCCCCTCCTGTCTTGGGGAAGAGCCTGGTACCCCTTGTCCCTTGGGAGGAGTCTTCTCAGTCCGGAAGCGATGGTCAGGGATGTGGTCTTGAAGGGCCGAGTCTGGAATGGAGGCCAGTCCCCAGGCAGCGCCGGGGTGGGACTCGCTGGAGATGGCCGGAGTCCTGAGGACATCACCCTGTTTCAGAAGGAAGCACCGCGCCTCCTTCTCTACCTCTGGGGTTCCCCTCCAGCCTGCCTCACCTGCCTCCCCTGGGGTCCAGCCCCTTCACCTTCCCTAACTCATCTCAGGACACCAGTGCACACAAGAACGGTCCACTTTTAAAATACAAGTACTAGCCAGGTGTGTGTGTCGGTGCATGGCTGGATCCCAGCACTCTGGGAGGCTAAGGCAGGAGGATTACAAGTTCGAGCCCAGCCACGGTCAGCTTAGACCGTGTCTCAAAGTGAAAGAAAGAAAGGTCTGGGGGTGTGGCTCAGTGTGAAGGTCCTGGGTTTGATCTCCAGTACCACAAAAATAAAATAAAAATGCTGAAACCAAGAAGCCTGAGGAGGCTTGTGATCAGTTGTTGACACCAGCCAACGCTAGCAGCCGGTAAATGACCAGCCTCACTCCGTCTTATTTCATTTGCTGTTCTGAACGTCCTCCTTCGAGGTCAGTTCTACAGGTGAGCATGTGTTCGGGGCCACGCAGCAGGGAACACGGTAGGAGTTTAACAGGCCCGTGCTGATCGATGCAAACGCGCCCGGGGCGCGCTGGGGCCTGGGCAGTGCAGATTCAAAGACCGCTGGTTTCCTGGACACCGGGGACGGGCGGAGCCCGTGGCTTCCCGGCTCGGGCGCGTCCCGCGGGGCCTCACAGGAGGCGCTGCGGCCCGGGCCTCGGCAGCCTTCAGGAACCGGCAGGCCGTGCGGCTCCTCCGCTCCCCCACGCCGGCCCGGCCGGGGCCCAGGGCGCCGGCGCGGGTCTGGAGTGCGTGGAGATGGTGTCGCCGCGAGGCCTGCGCCCGGCTCCCGCGGTACCCAGGTCTCGGGCCTGCAGCCCGGTGCGCCCCGGGGGGGGGGGGGGGGCAGGCGGGATGCGCGGCCCCGCCCCGCCCCGCGGCCCCGCCCGGACAGCGCTGCCATTGGCCGCGGCCGAGGCCGGGCGGTCCCGTGGGGCGGCCCGAGCAATGAATGGAGCGGCGCGCGGCGGGACGGTGAGTGGGTGTCGGGCCGCGGGGCGCTGTTGGGCAGCCGGTGCCGGGCTGCCCGCTGATGTCAGGCGCGGCAGGTGTCGGGGATCGCGGGAACCGGCGGCACTGAGGGCCGGAGCCGAATTCGCCCCTCGGGATGCCAGCCCTCCGGCCGGCCGCGGGAACAGCGGTAAGGGGACCCCGCCGTGGCTGTGGGAGGGACCCGAGGGAGAGCGCGCAGGCGCAGGCCAGGCCGGGCCGCGGGGTGCTGCGGTCGCCCACGTGCGCGGAGGCGCCTCCGGGTCGGGAGGAAATCGGTAGCTCGGGAGCTTTTCGGGGCGGCGGGCGGGAGGATGCGCGCCCCGCGCTGCTGTCCCTGCCGTGCGCGCGCTTGGCCGGAGTGGGACCCGGGGCGGGCGCCGGGGCTTCCACATCTGCGGGACCGGCGGCTCCAGCATCCGGGCCGGGCCGGGCCTGGCCGGGCGGAGAAGCCCAGCCGAGACCCCAGGTGCAGCGGCCCCACGTGGCGCGGGAGGCCCTCAGCCCCTGCACGGCGCGCGTTCCCTCTGGAGACGGTGGAGCTGCCGTAGTTTTCCACAGTAGTGGAAACCAGCGCTCCGTCTCTGCTCCCGGGCCGGGGGTTTTGGAACTTGGCTTACTTCTGCCTGATCAGAATCTGGCTCCGGGAGCCAGCTGCTCTGAGGTTTCCTTCTCTGGGCAGCCAGGGCCACATAGGCTTCAGAGGAGAGAGCACCTGTGTCTTATTTGGCCTCCTTTGTGTCCCTTGATACTCACAGCAAAGACATCAGGAGCTTGGCTGAGCGTGTGGAGTGTGCCAGTGCCTACTGCTTTGGGGACCGTCTCTGCTGACCCTCCCAGGCCCCGGGGGAGGGGGGAGCAGCTTTTCACACTCCCAGAAGGAGCCCCAGGAGGTCAGGTGGTTTGTCCAAGATAGCACAGTTAGAGTCCTGCTTGCCACAGACCACAGCTAGGCTCTGAACCCTTCTGCCACTCTCTTCCCAAGAAGGGAGAGGGAAACCCAGGCCTGCAGCCCTCAGCTGTGTCCAGGGCAGCCCACAGTTAAGGGGACGGGACATTTGGCCAGGAGTCAGTGACCAGAAGAGGAAGGGCAGCTCCCCTGGAAGTGGGCTGCACGGCCCCATTTCCCCTGTGCTGCAGGCAGGGGCAAGGCCAGGGGCCTTTTAGTTGGAGCTTGGGGGCACCCAGGAGGCAGCTCGTCTTGACCGCCCCGTGGCAGGATTTGTCCTGCTTCCCCGAAAGGCCAGGCCACAGGTACTGCCTGGAAAATTCTTTATGGGCTGCTGCCTTCCAGGTGGCTCACTGGGAGTGGCTCCTGAAGCAGGTGCTGGGCAAGTCCCAACCAGATCCCTCCCTGCCACCAAAGCGGCGGGGCAGGCCAGGCTGGCATGGTGTGAACGGGGAAGGGAGTGAACAGCCGAGCAATTGACTGAGCTGTCCTGGGCCCCTAGCCTGACTGTCTGGGCTGCCCTTTGGGCTCCAGGTCCGTCTCACTTGCGGGTGCAAAGGCTTTGTGCCCCACTATGGAGTCAGATAACTTAGGGAGCACAGTATTGTACTTGCAATGTCCTTCATCTAGAAATCCCAGGTTGGTACTGCTGAGTCTGTGTGAGTTCATGGTTTTGTGGACCCCTAAGCCTAAGCAAAGTGAATCCCTGAGCTCTCCCCAGTGGTTGACCACAGGTGGGAGGAGATGAGGCCCAGAAGGGCCCACGTAGAGCCTGGTGCTGGTCAGCAGAAGGGGCAGGGAAGCTGCCCCCGGCACAGCACACCTGCTCCCTCTGGCTGCATCCAATGGGATGTGGACAGAGGCCACAGACCTCTCTCCCAAGCCGCATGGCCTTCTCATTCTCCAGCGTGGCCCAGCCCGTGTTGGCTTTGGAAAGGAGGCTGTGATAGACAGTCCTTAGAATGTGGACACTGCTGGGTTCCCAGACTGGCTGCAGATCTGGCTTTGGCGGAGTCTTGGTGAGTATGAGAGCCAGCAGTCAGGGCAGAACCCTGGGTCTCCACAATTGAGAGTAACCCGACAGGTCCTGGGGGTTGTCCCCTCAAAGAGGAAGGGAGGTCACCAGGGCTCTGTGTGACTTGGCGGAGCCTGGAGGCCCTGCCTGTGGAGTGGGGGAGGAGATGGACCTGCTGCCTGCCTGCCTGCTGGATCCTCGGCTGTGTCCTCCCATAGGTCACTACTGAGGCAGGGGCCAGGGCAAGGTGCGTGGTCTGGTGACTTCCCCTCTGCTGTCCTTGCTTGGCCTGCAGCCTGCTGTCCTTAGATGCTGGGACCTCTGGCCTCCCCAACACCCCTCGCTTCCCTTGGGTAGCCGCAGTCCAGCGGCTCCTTCCTGCCACCGTTACATGAAATTAGTCTTGGGCCACATTTCTGGGGGAGGGTGGATGCTTTTTCTAAAGCTTCCTTATACTGAACTACAGCCCTGGCTCTCTTTATTCAGGGAGTCACCGAGTTCCCCAGGCTGGGCTTGAATGTGTGAGCCTCTGCCTCTGTCTCCCAGAGTGCTGGGTTATAGGAGGATGCTGTTTCAAAGGGATGCCTTGTGAAAGGTACTCAGAGTGGCCCGGGAACTGAGCATCGAGTGTGTGGGGGGTCTGCTGTCCGGGCAGGGCTTCACTTGTCAGATCCAGAGACCCCAATTGCAGGCGGTCCTCTCTTCCCCGAGCCAGCCTGAGCTCTGCCTGGGCACCTCTCTCGCCCAGCCAGGCTGTGCCTTTTCTCAGTGGTGTTTTCGTCTGGCCAGCTTTGGAGTACCGAGGCAGTGAAACCTGGGTGCTGTCACAGCACCTTCCCACCTTCGAGAAAACCTGGGTTATGACCATGAGTACATGTTTACTCGGCAACAGCAAGAGGATCTGGGCTCCAGGGCAAAGTGCTCAGCTTTGTTGCAGCTATCAGACGTGCTGAGACGCAGGTGTGGGGACCGCTGAGGGCTCCGATGTGCGGAGCTGAGGGGGTGGAGGCCAGGGCTGATGCTGCAGCTCTGTGTTTCTCGCGTGCCCTGGTGGTGCCCAGACCCGTTTGTGTAGAGGCTGGATCCATCACCTCATGGCATCGTGCCATGTTGCAGTGGGGAAACTGAGGCTCAGGAAGGCCTTGACCTACATGAGGTTGGGAGCACTTGCCTGGGTTGGAGAAAGCCTCTGCCTGTTCTCTGCTGCTTGAATCTGCCTTGATGGCAGGGAGGGCCTCCCGCTCCACAGATAGAACTTGACGAGTTGGGACGAAGGAAATGCTGAGCCTCACTGGTCTCTTGCTGGCTCCACGCCCCAGCTCCCTGGCCTCTGCACCCGGCTTGAGTGACAGATGCTCCAGGAGGGGCAGGTCCTTCTGGAGCCAGCCTGGCTCCTGAGCCCGGGACTCTTCAGACCCCTCCGTGTAGATCTCCATGCAAAGCAGCTGGCTCCTCGCCTGTGCAGAGTCACCAGGTGTGCAGACGGGCTGTGCTGGGTTCTGTGGGTGGCGGCCGCTCAGTCCTGCCCCAGTGCCTGCTCTGTAAGCGCCTTTGAGCCTCCTCCTGAAGTCGTGAGGCTGCCCCTGCGCTCACCCATCCCAGTGAATTTAGGCCAGGAGGAAGAGTCCAGCTCTTATGGAGCTGGAGAACCCACAGGAACTGGCTGCAAGTGTTTGGCGGTGGCTGGTGGCCTCAGAGCAGTGAGGGGAGAGCATGGCGAGGCCTCCTCCATCTCCTGGCTGGAGCTAAGAGAGGAGAAATGAGACCTGTGATTCTTCCCCAGCTGCCTAGGTCCAAGTGGGATCCAGGAACCGGGCCTGGGAGCAACCTGCAGCACGGAAGTGGCTCTGTCAGCTCCAGGCTTCCCTGGGGGCATTGTTCGGGGACTCAGGCAGCCAGGAGCAGGGCCACAGCTCCCTGGGTTGCACATCACTCTTGGAAAGCCCATGTCCTTTGTGCACTGGGAGCTGAGTGGGTGAGGAAAGACTTAGGCAGAGAGGAGCATGCGGGTGTGCGAGCCAGGGCCCAGCTTCGGAGGAACACTGGTGGGCTCCTGACTTCTGCTGCGTAACTGTTGGCTCCTGAGGAGGAGGAGCCGGGGGCTGGCTGGGTTCCTCCCCGAAAGTCACTGGCCAGGTGCTCTGGGCAGACACAGCCGAGCTTGCTGCCCTCCAGATGCAGACCTGGAAGGGACTCTGGTCACCCGCGACCTCGGAGCCCCAAGGAGCCTGAAAGGAGATGCAGCCAGTGGTGAGTTCCCTCTGCCTCCTCCTCTGTGCTGGCCAGGCCTGGGAGGGACCGGTGAGACCCACCCACCCAGGAGGGCCACTGCTGTGCTCCATGCACAGGCTCGGGGTGGCGAATCCAGAAAGCTCTGCACACACCCCGAATGGCCTCTCCTAAGTGTCTGGGCATCAGTGACTCAGGCACCTGACACCAGAAGCCCATCCTCAAAGCTGGCCCTTGCTCTGACCATCACACGAGGCGTTAGACTGCAGGGTGGCTCCTCCAGGGCAGGCAATGTGGCTTTGGGTTCGATGGAGCTGGGCATCCAGGCAAGGGTCTGCGTGGGCTGCCCACAAGGAGGCTGAGGATCAAGGCCGAGAGTGGTTCCGGACTGCGTCACTGGCTTGGTTGCTGCACCTGAGGCACCTCCAAATCAAGCTGGTTTTGCAGTGAACCATTGCTGGGAAACTTGAGCTCTGCCTGCGTGACCAGCAAGGGCCCCAGGTCCCCACCAAGGGTGGTGTATGCGTGGGGCCTCCCAGGATCAGGGCCTTCTACCCTCCCACTACTCACGGAACAGTCAAGCAGATGCCGGTGCCCAGGTCACAGCCAGAGACCTCGGTACAGACTTGGACTTGGTCAGGGGGCGAGACCAGTGCCAGCTGGCCCTGCTGGGGCTGCACTTGGCGTTTATGCACTCACACCTGTAGCACGTGAGTCTGGGAGGTGCCACTGGGGAGGGGAGGGGCAGGCGCGGTCACCTGTGTGCTGCCTCAGTGAGGCGAGGACACCACAGGTGGTGTGGGCGTCAGTCAGCTCCACCGTCTGTAAGCCCATTGGGTCTCAGCACCACCAGAACCAAGCTCCTGATGGGGGCCATGGAGCCCCACGGGCCCCTGCATCTGGGCAGCTGAAGAATTCTTATAACAGATTTATCATTGGCCGTGCCGGATGGGCTGGTGTAAACATTGCATCTTCATGGCTAATATTTGAAATAGGATTCTAAGTCACTTATTTAAATGTAGATGATACATCTGTTTTCAGGCTGAGCTTGCCATATTTCTGCCAGAGCTCTTGCTTCAGGTGAAGCAGCATAGACCTTCATTGCTGGACCCCAGCCCCTGCATTCTCAAGTGGCGGCTGGATTTTCAAGTAGGAAGTCATTCTGTCCGCTTGTGGCTGGTGCTTGTCATGGAGGCTTAGCAACCTCGCCTCCTCTGGACTCGGCCAGGACCTGAGCCCCTGTCTCCATGGTGTCCCAGCAGCTGGCCCAAGGTCACCAGTGGCATGGGGCGGCTGGGTGGGTGTTTTATGGTGGAGCCACAGGGTGGTCTCTGACCTTGGCCTTGCCTGCATGTCTCCAAGCTGAGGCCGCTCTGGTTCCAGAGCCTGACCATTGGGTGGTGTGGGGACAGCTGTCCCCGTCACCCCACCTGGCCCCTGCCCATCCTGCCTTGCTCTGCTGCAGTTGGAGCATTAGTGCGTTCACTGGCCACACGAGTGGTTTGTTCCTGGGAAGCTTCGACCGTCACGCCCACAGTAGGAAGCTGTCCTTCCCAGCGTGGTGCTGGTTCGCAAGGAGGCCTAGGCACCATGAACAGCTGGGCATGGTCATGGGTGCCTCAAGCAGGCCCAGGTGGTGGGATTTTTGCTGTTTGCAGCATCAAAATGCGGCTGCTGATGCCTAAGTACCAGTTTCCAGAGTCAACACAGGACCTATGCGTGAGTCCCACGTGGTTGGTGACTTGTGTGCGTGCCCTGTTCAGTGACAGCACTCCTCTCACACGCATGTGCACACTTGCAGGGTCTGAAGCCAGATGAAGAGAGTCAGGCCCGAGTGCCCTCCCTAATTGCCACTGTCGAGCTATGTGGTCTTGGACAACTCTGAGGCCCTCTAGGCCTCTTTCCTGTACCTTTGAGAAGCGAGGACAGGGTGCTGGGCGTGTGCCTCGCTAGGCTGCGGCGGTGGAGGGGCGGAGCTCTCAGTTCTGGGGGGGCACAGTGCAGCCAGTCTTTGGCGGCCTGTGGCCCCTGGTGAGGTGAGGTGAGGGTACAGGCGGCTGCGTGTCGGGAGACGTGACAGGAAGCCTGGGAGCCCCCGGATTCTGGGGCTCAGCCTGCAGCCGCTGTGCGGTCCGGGAGCACCGCTGGCTCCAGCTGGGATCCTGTTGTGGGCTCTCGTTGCCTGTTCCCTGTGCCAGTCCCTTTTGTGGTCATAAGAGAAAGTTGTCCCCTTTATTTAAAAGCAAACAAGGGCCGAGGTTGTGGCTCAGTGGCACTGCACCTGCCTCGCAAGCGCAAGGTCCTGAGTTCAACCACCGGTACTAAAAAATAAAATAAAATAAAAAATTAGAAAAATGAAAACAAACAAAACTGGCAATTTGCTGTCCCCGGTGCTGGAGGGTTTGTCAGCGAGCCCTATGGAAGTCCCCAGTGTGCCCTCCCTACACCTTGGCCCGGAGCCCCACACTCACGCTAGTTTTCTTTTTCCCTTTGTCTTTGGTATTGGGGGTTAAACCCAGGGCCTTACACTGAGCCCTTCTTTAAACATTTTTTATCTTGAGACAGGGTCTCCCTAAGTAGCTAAGTTGCCCAGGCTGGGCTCAAATTTGTAATCCTCCTGCCTCTGCCTCCCGGAGTGCTGGGATGATGAGTGCACCACGCCCACTTTCACAGTTTATTTGTATCTGCTGAGCCCTGGCTGTGGGCGCCGTCTGGGGCTGCTGTAACAGACTCCAGATCTTGGGGAACTGGGTGACAAGAAGGTGTCATCCCCATCCTGGAGGCCGGAAGTCCTGGGTGGAGGCGTCCATGGGCTCAGCCTTGCTGCTGGCAGAGCCTGCCCACCTCTCTCCGCTCCTTCCCGGCGTGCAGAGCTCTGTCTCCCGTTGGGCAGGATTTACAGATTAGGGCCTGCTGTAATCCCATCGGAGGCCTCAGCTCCAGTCTGGGCCTGGGGGCAGGGCTGCCCATCCTGTGTGGGAAGGACACAGTCCAGCACCTGCGGGGAGCGCGGCCGGGCCTGTGTTGGCTCTGCACTCCTCGAGCTGCAGGGCAGGTGCTTTCCGTCTCCTTGCGGCGTGTTTCACGGCAGCTTCCTTCTGGCGGGGAGGCCTCGTGAATCTGCAGTTCTTGCCACCGATTGTCTGGGAAGCCTTGGGCGTCGGGAGGCTCTGTGTACCTGGGCATGGGCCACTCTCTTTATTTACTTTTGCAGCATGGTAACAGGAATTGAACCCAGGGGCTGCGCACTGAGCTATGCTCCCCAGCCCTTTATTTTTTACTTTTGAGACAGGCTCCTCACTAAGTTGTTAAAGTGTCCAGGCTAGACTTGAACTTGCAATCGGCCTGCCTCAGCCTCCCAGAGTGCTGGGGTTACAGGTGTGCTCCCACACCTGGCTAAGAACTACCCTTGCTAAAGTAATGTAGGTGTTTCAGAAACCCTGCCCGGAGCCAGAGAGGCAGCAATTGCTCAGCAAGCGCCGTGCTCCTCTGGGAGGGTGGCTGGGAGGAGGGCTGAGCAGAGGCGGGGACAGAGGGGCAGTGCCTGCGCCTTCCTGCCGGTGGTCCACAGGGCTGAGTGCAGAACAAGGGAGACCTGGCAGTGGGGTCTGTCTCCAGGGCAGACTCGGAGGTTTATTTCCCCTTCCTCATCCCCCACAGCCTCCAGACCCTGGGGCACAATGAGTGGTTTTCGTGCTAAGTTGGATTTCAGGAGCAGCCAGGTTTGATGGGTGGTGGGTGCAGCTCTGGTGGGCAGAGCCAAGGCCTCTGCTGTCTGACCTCCACCTGCGGGCTCCGCCCTCGCTGCAGCTCCTGAAGCCCTCCCTACCCCTAAAGAAGCCACGTCTCCCTTCCTGTGTTCTGACTGTGTGGAGTTGAGTCCCTGTCTGCAGGCTGGGCCTGGGCCACCTGCTGCAGCACCGCACCCCCAGGTGAAACGCCTGGGTGTGGGTCCAGTCAGAGGCCAGTCTAGACTCGGGGAGGGCCTGTCTGGGATTCCAGTGTGGGAGATTCAGTGCCAGGCAGGCAGCCCCTAGCTAACCCCGTGATGGGCACGCAGAATCTTCACACAGAGCCGCAGTGTCAGAGCAGATTCAGGTTCACTAACTAGAAATCCTCTTCACAGAACAAACGGGCAGCTGGAATTCCTCTCGGCCACTTCTGCCAGTCCCACTGTCACCCTGCTTCCAAGGCCTCCCCACCAGGCCCGGAGATGCCCCAGCAAGCGCTGGGGGACACGCGCTTCCCCCTGATGCCCCAGCTCTTCAACAGCACCCACTTGGCTGTTGAAAATGGGCTTGACCACAGCCCCCTGGGCAGCAGGGACTCCCCAGGCTCTGAGCGCTCCACCACCCACAGCCCCCTGGACTCCTGCAGCCAGCCCCTGTGCCAGCCCCGGACAGAGAAGCACAACAGCCAGGCGGCTCCGCAGGTGCAGTACGTTTCAGTGGGGCCACCAGACACAGCGTGTGGCTGGCGAGGCTTCACCCCAGAGTGCCTGCAGGTCTTCAACACCCCCAAGGGCTTCCTGTTCTTCCTGTGTGCAGCCTCCTTCCTGCAGGGCATGACGGTGAACGGCTTCATCAACACGGTCATCACCTCCATCGAGCGGCGCTATGACCTGCACAGCTACCAGAGCGGGCTCATCGCCAGCTCCTACGACATTGCCGCCTGTCTCTGCCTTACCTTTGTCAGCTACTTCGGGGGCAGTGGACACAAGCCGCGCTGGCTGGGCTGGGGCGTGCTGCTCCTGGGCGCCGGCTCGCTGGTGTTCGCCCTGCCCCACTTCATCTCGGGCCGCTATGAGGCGGAGGTGGACGAAGGGACCGGGATGTGCCCGGCCAACCAGAGCGTGGTGTGTGCTGACAGCTCCTCGGGCCTGTCCCACTACCGGCTGGTCTTCATGCTGGGCCAGTTCCTGCACGGCGTGGGCGCCACGCCCCTGTATACCCTGGGCGTCACCTACCTGGACGAGAATGTCAAGTCCAGCTACTCGCCCGTCTACATTGGTGAGTGGAGGGGCTGGGTGGCGCGAGAGGTCAGTGTGCTGTTCAAGAGGGACAGCAGCTGGCCCGAGTGGTGCCTGCCGGGAGCTGGCTCCCCAGCCGCCTGCATGTTTGTGTGCACATGGCCCCTGGTGCCCACCCCTGAGAGGGCCGCCAGTGTTGGTCTCACCGGAGCACCAAAGGGGTGGAGGTGAGGCCAGCTTTCTTACGAAGCCCCCGGGGACTCTGAGCCTCTGTGCTGGAAACCCAGTGACCCCTGATCACGTGGTCTGGCCCACCCAGGGGACCCCAGGGTACAGCTGAGGCCCAGTGAGCAGCTGCACATGGGAGGGGCCGGAGCCCTGGGCCAAGCCGAGTCTTCCTGCGAGCCCCACGCCTGCTGTGGCTGGTCACACGGGGTGGCAGATAGGCAGAGGCAACTCAGAAGAATCAAGACTTCCGGCAAAAGCACAGAGTGCTCACAGGTTCTTCACTGTCACCTGAGAGCGGCACGCAGTACTCATGTGAGGTGCTGCCCTGCCCAGGTGGCCTCGGGCTCTCGGCTCCAGCCCCTGGGTTTGGGACACGGAGCCCTGCAGGCCTCGTAGGACCTGCTGTGTGCTTTGATGGCCTTGCCCTCCTGCTCGGCCTGCTGCACCTTTTCCCCGCCCCCCTGCCTGGCTTGGCTCTCCTGGCAGTCAGCTCACTTCCGGGCTAGACTTGAGGTTACGACTGCAGCTTCCTCACTCACCTAGCGGTTGACATGCTGGGGACCAGGGGTCATTTGCTTTGTAGAAATTTTGAAAAGTTGGTGCCAAGTGGACATCAGACCCAGCACAGGCTATAATGACCGATGCCGACCCAGAGAGGCCTCAGGGGGAACAGACAGGCACAGAAACATGGGTATGGGGCCTCTCAGGAGGCTGACACCAGGGTGGCCCGTGGTGGACAGCTCCTCCGCTTGCCTTCCAGCTGTCTTTTACACTGCAGCCATCCTGGGCCCTGCTGCTGGCTATCTGATCGGAGGCGCCATGCTGAATGTTTACACGGAAGTGGGCCGGCGGTGAGTGACCGGGACGTCATCCTACCTACCGCAGTCTGCAGGTCCCGTGGGTCCCTGAAAAGTGTTTCTGATACTGCAGTGCTCGGTGCAGAACAGGTTCTTGGCCTGGCTGAGCTGGAGGAATCCAGGGCTGGCCTTGGCTTGGGCGACTTGGGCAGAGGGACCCCAGGCCCAAGTGCTTTAGAAGCCCTGGCCACAATTTCTCTACCACTCTTCACTTGGCAGCTTTTCCTGCACCAGCAAGAGATTCTTTTATCTTTCATTTCCTTGTGTCTTGTTTGTGATACCAGAGTTTTGAAAATTTAAGCAGGAGACAGAGAAGGAGAGCTAGACAAGAGAGGGAACATGTGGGGATGGGAGGGGCTGAGCGCCTGCTGCAGGCTGGAGCGGAGCTGTGGTTCCCCCTCCTGCACACAGGGCAGCTCTGGTCACGTTCTCATGCTCCGGGCTACTACACCTTGGGGGCTCTGCAGATGGCGCCCCGTCAAGGTTTCTAGCCCTCTGCCCTCAGAAAGCCAGGCTGATACTGTGGGGTCAGGCGCGCTGGTTCTGTGCAGAGGCTGAGGTGCCTTCTCTGGCTGCCCGTGGCCCCTCAGGCTCTGGGGCCTGGGCCCAATTGGCACAAATCAGGGTGGGGGGTGAGGGTGGGGCTGGGGAGAAGAGTGAGATCCGGGCCTCAGGGCCGCCACGGTGTCCATTCCTGTGCTAAACAACAGCGAGCTGCAGCCGCCGCCTGGCTGCTGTCCTGGGCTCTCTGCTTCCCACCCCATCCCTCGTGGCCTCCCTCGCTGGGGGGCGCACCCCTGGAAGCCCAGTCTGTGATGGCTGCTGCCTTTCTGATGCGTCTTCCTGCTCACCTGCAGTCTGAGAGTGAGCTGGTGTGCAGACTGCTGGCACACTTGTAATGACCCCTCCGTGGGGAGCTCCGTGAACTCCCGCCAAGCCCTCTGTCCCTGGGCTGGATAGGTTCCCGGGGACGCCATCTGTCCACCTCCATGTGGCTATGCAGAGGGAAGCCCTGCTGTTGCCTGGAGCACCTGCTTCTCGGGGCCCCGACCTGTGGAGAGCTCAGTCTGAGACTGGGCCCCCAGAGCAGGCTGGAGTGTGGAGCCAGCTGTCCTGGGGGTGTCCAAGCCAGGGAGGGGTGGAGTAGCTGCAGGGTTGTGGACCTCTGCTCACCGGTGTGCACAGGGACCCTGGAGGTTTGGTCAGAGGAGGAGCCAGGCAGTCACTGTGCGTGTGTGCATGCGTGTGTCCCCAGAACAGACCAGTCGGTGACCCAAGTGCCACTGCCTCTTTCTACAGGACCCACTTGACCCCCGAGAGCCCACTGTGGGTTGGTGCCTGGTGGATCGGCTTCCTGGGCGCAGGGGCAACAGCCTTGATCATCGCTGTCCCCATCCTTGGCTACCCCCGACAGCTGCCAGGTGGGTTTTCCTGTTCCAGCCAGCTGTCCCTGCTAGGAGGCAGGACACCCCCTCTCCTCCCGTTCTTCCCTTCTCATTTCTACCGACAAGGAACAAGGGCAGAGTCTAAACCTCCCCAAGATGCCGAGTGGGCAGGGCAGGCCTGGCCAGCGGCGGGCAGCTGTCTGGGTCCCCTGGCCTCACCCCCAGCCCCTCCGGGTTAGGGCCCTTCTTCCTGCCCCCTGAGGTCCGCACACCTCAGCCTTGCCCCACTGTGTTACCTTGGCACTAGGTCTGCAGTTGCTGCAGGGTGGCAAATGGGGGTATTCCCCAATAGGGTGGGCCTCTCAAGCCCTTGCTTCCTGGAAACTGAGGGCCCTGCTAACTGTCCCTCCAGGCTCCCAGCGCTATGTCATCATGAGAGCAGCAGAGACACAGCAGCTGAAAGAGCGCAGCCACAAGACAGCTGGCAGCCTGGCCTTGGGGAAGACAGTCAGAGACCTGCCGCTGTAAGGACCCAGGGCGGGGGGTCGTGGGCTCTCCAGGGTCACAGTGTGAGCCCACATCTCCTAAACCGCTCATGACCCACCAACCTGAAATGCAGGCACCACAGCCTCTGACCATAGACTATAGGACGGGCAGGGCTTCAGCCACATCAGCCCAGCCCAGGCACCTCACAGGCCTGGAGCACATCCCCTGCACACCAGCAAGCTTCCTGACCCTGGCTGCATGACACAGGGTCCCTGGGAGGCTGCCCTGAGCCCAGGAGCCTGCCCACCTGCTCCCTTCTGCTGGGCATCAGCTGTGCATTTGCTCTTGAGGGCTCTGGGCTGGTACCCGCCTGCCCCTCCTGGGCCCTTTGAGCACCACAGGAACGAGACGTTCTGCCCTGCCCATCCCACCTGCCCTGCAGGCTCTCCTTCGTTGCAGCATTGTTCCCTTGGTTTACAGTCCTCGCTGTGCTCCCTCTCTCTGGTGGCCATAGCCTGACCTGGCTTTGTTGTCTTCATGTGCAAAGGCCATGCCCTCACCTGCCCAGGTCCTAGGGGGAGCCCCTGGTGCCCAGGGTCCTGTCCTCGCAGGACTGTGCATGCCACGGGGCTGTCCACAGGGCTGGGGGACGCAGCCTTTGAGTGGCCTGCTCGAGTCCTCAGCCTCTGGGACCCACTGGGGTGCTTTCTCTTGTGTCTCTGGGCTTATGAATGGTGGCATCTAACTGGCCCTGTGAGACAGAGGGCTGGAGTGACAGGGATGAGCCCCTGTGGCCTGTCAGCAACATGGGGAGGATGGAGAGGCTGAGGATAGCCCCACAGAGCCCCCAGGCTGAAGAGGAGCAGAGCTGCCTCCTAAGGTCTCACTTAGGGCTTCCCCGTCGCCTAGGGGAGCTGGGAGCTGCCTACTGAAGAGAGGGGCCCCCATGGCACGTGGAGGGGTGCTGGAGTGTCACGCCAGGCCTGTTCAGGGCCAAGGGGCTGGCAGCCAGCTCACTCAGTGCAGTGCAAGCCTTGGCCCAGCGTGGATGTGGAGAATCCAACAGAGTCCCCTTCATCCTGAGGCATTGGCCCAAGCCAGGCAGGCCTGGTGGACCCTGGAAAGGAGGCCACCACCATGCCTCACACACCGCCCTGTGGGACCAAGGAGGGCCCAGTGCCCTGAGCCCCCTCGGGTCCCTGCCCAGCTCCGGGATGGGGTTTCCTCCGCAGTTGCTCTTTGCTCTGCTGAGTCCTAGGAGCCCTGTCACTGGCAGGAGAGAGAGGCTTTTAACCCTAAAGTCAAAAGGGACCTGGTGACCGAGTCTGGAGCAGGTCTGACAGTCGTGACCTCATGTCAGCCTCTGTCTGGGAAGTGGGCGGGTGCAGGTCCCCAGTCCAACGCCCTTGGCGCAGCTGCAGCCCTGTCAGGGCTCTGAGCTGGTTATAGCTGCTCCGCACACTCCTGCTTTTTCGGAAGTGTCAGGATGTTCACAGCCGCTCTGACAAACTCCTGTTCTCATCATGTGTCTCGATTTGGCATGGAGGAGTGTCGTCTCCTGCTACTGACATGGCGGGGTCGCTGGAGCCGGTTCTCAGGGGAGATGCAGGAAGCTTCTGCTTAGGAAACTGCACTTAGGAAAGAGCCAAATGTGATGCATGCCTGCAATCCCGCACTGTGGGAGGCTGAGGCCAGAGGATCACAAGTTTAGGCCTACACCGGGTCTCAAAATAAAAAATAGAAAAGGCTGAGGATGTAGCTCAGTGTGAAGGCCCTGGGTTCGATCCCTAGCATACCCACCACCACGCTCAGTAAGCAGGGGCCACAGGAGAGCCTTCTGACGACAACGGCGGAATCAGCAGGCTGCCCCTGACCACTGGTCCTGGCTATTGCGCCCCAAGTACAAGCCAAGAACAGCTGGAGAGCCAGCCAAGCCCACCGGGCTCCTTGAAGGCCCTGGTTCCAAATCCTAGGGGTTTCCTGCTCCCCGCTTCTTCCTGGCCGGGTGGTTGAGAATTGGCCCCACTCTTGGGGACACTGGGCCCTGTCCTGTGGGGCCCTGTCTTGCAGGCCCAGACTCGGCACCTGCTGCCCCCTCCAGGCCTCTGCTGATCGTCACAGGGAAACTGGCCTTGGTCCCTTGGGGCCCTGCCTGTGGGAGCCGGTCTGGCCAGGGCTGGCCAGGGGCTCAGCATGAGGCTGTTGGTTCTCTCCCTGCACCCCTTTACTGCCCTCTTGGAACTGGGAGTCCTGCTTGGCCACCCTGACCCCCATCCCCTCTGTGCCCTCCCCCCAGCTCCATCTGGCTCCTCCTGAAGAATCCCACATTCATCCTACTCTGTCTGGCGGGGGCCACTGAGGCCACGCTCATTGCCAGCATGTCCACGTTTGGCCCCAAGTTCTTGGAGGCCCAGTTCAGCCTCAGTGCCTCAGAAGCGGCCTCTTTGTTCGGTGAGCAAACTGAATCCTGGGGTGCTCTGCAGGAAAGACTGCCCTTACCTGGGTGGGAGGCATGAGCTGGAGCAGCCTAGCCCTAGCCGAGAACCGTGGCCCATCCCAGCAGGCCTTGCTCCAGGCGGGAGGGGCAGGGGGCCTACCTGGTCGCCGCTCAGGCCATGTCCTTTGCTACAGAAGGGGTAGCTCTGGGGCCCTGTGCCTGGAGGGGCTGTCCGAGCCCCAGCAGCCTGACCTCCTGGGCCTGCCAGAGAGGGCACAGGCACTGATCGCAGGCCCCACTCCAGGGAGTGGCCCAGCCTCCAGGATCGCACGCCTGGCAAGAGGCTCTGGGGTGGGGGCCCAAGTGGGCTCAGGGTGTGGGCACCGGTCAGCACCCGTCTGCCCACTGTGGTGGTGTCATGGGGCACCACCCCCTCCAGACTGACCCCCAGGACAACAAACACCCTCTTCTCTCAGGCCCTCTCTCCTGCTGGCTTCACCCTCCTTCCTGTGCCCCCAGGCCTCAGTCACAGCCCTGAGGGCTTCAACATGGCCCCCTTGGGAAGCCCCCCCCCCCCGTGTCTAACCCTGTGTTCCTGTGAGCACTGTACGGAGCACTGTGGGCTTGGGGCGCCTCATCACTCCACAGGCCTGGGGCTGTGGGTGCCGTCTCTGGCCCTGTGCTCTGCCCTGGGTCCACACCTGGGCTCCTCCCTGCAGGCCCTGGATGGAGGCTCCACAGTGGCTCTGCCTGAGCAGCAGCTTATGTGCTGCCCGGTGGGCAGGGGCTGACCCCCGGGCCTCAGCTTCCCCACCTGTAAACAGGGGTGTAAGGCCCAGTCGGTGTCCTCTTGCTCACCGAGCCACCTCTCCCCAGGGTACCTGGTGGTGCCGGCAGGCGGTGGCGGCACACTCTTGGGCGGCTTCCTGGTGAACAGGTTTAAGCTCCGAGGCCCCGGGATCGTCAGGTTCTGCCTGCTCTGCACCCTGACCAGCCTGCTTGCCTTCTTCGTCTTCCTCACACACTGCCCCAACGTGCCCATGGCAGGCGTGACCACAGGCTACACCAGGTAGGGGCTGGGCAGAGGCAGTCCTGTCCAGGAGAGGCTGGCGCTGGGAGGGCTCGTGCTTTGGAAGGGTTTTAATAGCGCTGTGCCAGGCGGTGCCTACGTGAGATGCCGTTGTCCCAAAGAGTGTCACATCCTGGCCTGGGCCTCAGTCATCTCTGTAAATGGGACAGCAGTAGCCTCATGTTGACACGAAACATGGCCAGACATCAACTCCCATGTGTCGCTGTGAGGCAGAGCCTGCAGGACTGTCCCATTGGGTGATATGCAACTGCCCCAGCCCAGCCCGGGTCTCCTGGGAGCTCTCACGCTGCACCAGTAAGACTGGGACATCCTGAGATGCCAATGCGGCTTTGTCTGCAGTGGGGCAGCAGAGAGCATCGTGGAGGACGGGCTGACTGGGTCCGCGTGCATACCCCTGGCAGAGGAGGGGCTGTGCAGTGAGGGGCGTCTCGGGAACACAGTGTTCGAGGAGTGGAGCATGGGGCGCAGTGCCTGTCCTCTGATCAGGAGGTGGGGGGACACAGACCTGCGACCGCCGTGGTGCTCTCTGATTATCTGCAGCACACAGCTGGGCCTGCTCTGGGCACTGGGCACAGGCTGGGCACTAGGGGTTCGTGCTTGCTACTCTTTCCTGACACATCCCTTCTGGGCCATGTGAATTCAATTCCTGTCTAAAAGAAAAAGAAAAACCAAACCAGGTAGCTTGAGAGAGTGTTGCCCACAGGCAGAGGAACCTTAGAATTGGAAGTGATTGTGGAGTCACCAGGCGATGCATAGTGTGCTGTGGGTGGCACCAGCCTGGCAGGTTTGCAGACCCCAGATGTCGGCCTGGGAGGGAGGAGGCCGCAGGTGGTCCTGGGCCCGTGGGCACCACCTGGCTCTAGCTGCTCTCCCACAGCCTCCTGCCTGAAGGCCACCTGAACCTGACGGCCACCTGCAATGAGCACTGCAGCTGCCAGCCCGAGCACTACCGCCCTGTGTGCGACGCGAACGGCACCATGTACTACTCCCCCTGCCACGCAGGGTGCCTGGGGCCCGCAGAGACGGGCTGGGATGGCCAGAAGGTGAGTGTGGCTGCTGCCCGCGGCCCTGCCCCTTCCCGGGACCTGGGCAGGGCCCTGTGCCTTCCTCCTGTGATCCGCACTGTGTTGGGCTCCTCAGGTGTACCAAGGCTGTAGCTGTGTCCCTGCGAGTTTGGGCCAGGCCACTGCAGGGAAATGCACTTCAACTTGTCAGAGAAAGCCCCTCCTTCTGGTTCTCGTGTTCGCTGTAATTATCTTTACATTCCTCAGCAGCATTCCTGCGCTGACGGCGACTCTACGGTAAGCGCAGCCGCTCTGCTTCCACCAGCACCTTTCTTGCAGCACCAGCAGGTGGCGTCCGTGGACCCCCGAAGGGCCAGGCCCGCGAGGCCTGTCTGTTGCCAGCGCGAGGCGCTAATGTCTCTGGCCTCTGGCAAGATGCCTGCCACTGGGGGAGGTGGCACTGTGGCCTGGGCCAGGGCCAGGAGTCGCAGCTGCTGTGGGTGTTGACTTGGTGTGCGTGCGGCCTGTCCTCCGCCCTCCGCCCTCCACCCCCGCTGACGCTGCACTGCGCCTTCCTTGCAGGTGTGTCCTGGACCAGCAGAGGTCCTTCGCCCTGGGGATCCAGTGGATCGTGGTTAGAACACTAGGTACTGTCTGTGTGAGGAGGCTGTGGAGAGCCGCGCAGTGTCCTCTGTACCTGTACCGGGCGTGTGGAGGTGCCGTCTCAGCAAGCCGGGGTGGCTGCTCCCCCAGGAAGGACTCCATTCCTGGCTGTCCTCGAGGGGCTGGCTGGCACTTATTTCCCCTGATTGTTCCCTGACCTCCTGACCAGACTCCCTCCTCAGAGACCTGAGGCACTCCTGCCCCATGCCAGGATCCCGGGGAGAGCAACGCTTCGGCCCCTTCGCACCTCCCGGGGACGCTGATGGCCAGTGTCGCCTGGCCGGACCCTCCCTGCTGCCTGTGTCCCGGCAGGTTGCTGACCAACTCTCCCCTTAGGCAGCATCCCGGGACCCATCGCCTTTGGCTGGGTGATCGACAAGGCCTGCCTCCTATGGCAAAACCAGTGCAGCCACCAGGGCTCCTGCTTCGTGTACCAGAACGCAGCCATGAGCCGCTATATACTCGTCGTGGGGCTCGTGTACAAGGTGAGCTGGGCCTGCAGCAGGCTCTTCGTCTGCGCCACCAGGGGTCGCCCTTTCCTCATCCTCGACCTGGTGGCTGGGACTCTGCAGTCCTGGCCGCTCAGAGAGAGCCCTGGACAGGGGGCCCTAGCAGCACCCTGGCTGGGGGTCGGAGCAGCTTCCTCTTCTGCCTGCTGGGGTGCCCACCCCTGAGTGGTCTGCTAGAGGCCGTGAGACACTGGCAGGAGTGTCCGGCTGCTCCCAGCCAGGCGGGTCTGCTGGGGTGAGGTGGGCCTGCAGCTGTCTGCCTGTGACCACGTTTCTCAGGGGACACGCACTGTTGTGACCCTCGCTTTGGGCTGCCGGGGAGGGGAGGAACAGGGTGTTTGTCTCTGAATGCCCTGCCCACTAGGGGAGAGCACGAAACCTTCAACAGGAAGGGAGATCTAGGTGGTGGTTGAGGGATCTAGGTCTAAGCGGGGGAGCTTGTGGCCCCAGGCTCTTGTCAGCGCATTGGCCACCACCTCAGAGCCCAGGGGTTTATCCCCTGGGATTAGTTTAAACATAGGAAAGGGATTCGTGTGGCTCTGGACTGGAGCAGTGGTTTAGAGACAAACCTGTTCCCGGGGAGCTGCCTCTTGGTTCTCTTTCGCCCCTTGGTTCTCTGGACGCTTGGAGGGCTTCCGAGGCCCTTGTGTGGGTGTGAGTTTTAGAAGCAGGCACGAACAGGCCCTTCTGCTGGCCCTGGCCCGATCACTGCCAGGGGGAAACAGCCCCTATGATTCAGCCTTGGCCCCCAGCCCCAGGGTGTGCCCAGGAGTGCTGCGGGGTCACCTTCCATGTGCAGTGGGAGGCCAACGTGCGGCATGTTGTCGAGGCCTGCATGCGATGCTGCCGTGTCGTGTCTCACACTGGCAAGGTCGCTGCACCCCCAGATTGCAGGTAAAGAAACTGAGGCTCAAGGGTTAAGCCATCCCTGAAGTTACCAAGTGGAGGCCCCACTTCAGGGCTCCTGGCTGGCCTCACAAAGCTGCACACACAGAAGGGCCTGAAGCAGCAGAACCCGGACGGCCTGTTCTGCTGGTGCTGCTCCCCCTTCAGAGGTGGCCAGGCAGTGCACACGCGTGTGAGTGTGAGTGTGAGTGTGTGGACGTTCAGCCCGGCCTCTGCTGTCATCTCACAGGCCTCCTTACGCCGCTAGTCTGTCTCCTTCCTTTCTCTTATAAGGACAGGGGTCGTTGGGCTTGGGCCACCTTAAATCCAGGATGACTTGGTCTGCAGAGGGAGCTCTTTAATATAATTCCTAATTCCGTCTACAAAGGTGGGGTTGGCCTTGCAGGCCCGAACCCGTGCCCCGCCACACTGACTGGCCTCTTTGGGGCTCGTCTGTCCCCCTAAGCTTCCCGTTCCGCATTCTGTGGGGAGGTCTCTTGGCTCCCGGTCAGGTGGTTCCAGGGTGGGCGCAGGCTGGGGCGGTGAGGGCTCCGGGCAGGCGAGGTCCAGCTGGCTCCTCCTGTTCCCAGGTGCTGGGCTTCCTCTTCTTTGCTGCCGCCTGCTTCCTGTACGAGTCTCCGTCCGGGCCCTTGGCCGACCGGGCCGCCTCCCTGCCCAGCCAGTCATCAGCCTCCGAGGGCCCCTCGGACCTCCAGCTGCAGAGTGCCATCTGACCCGCCTGCTCAGGGTCGCCCTCCTCACCGAGGCCACAGTGCCGGACCTGGGGAGTCTGCGCTGGACTCGGGGCCTGCGGGGCCACCCCAAGGTTGCACTGAGCCATGGGTCGTGGAGGTCAGAGCCTGAGACCAGGAAGGAGGAGTGGTGCCGGGCATACTGGAAGTGGACACGCCCCCCAGCCCGAGCACTCCTGAGGAATGGCCCATCCTGCCAGCTGCCTGCCTGGCTCTGACTTTCCGTGTCGCTTTGGATGTGGCAGCAAGCCCTGTGGGGGTCAGGGCCCTGGGAGGCTGGATGCTGTGGAACCTTCCATTTGACATCTTGTTTGAATCTGCTGTCACTTCTTGTCCTTGGAAACAGGTGGCCTCTGCATTGGGTGGGACCGATTTGGATAAACACACATTTGTGGACCTCTGGTTTATATATAGAACTTGCTTTAAGCCAGGCATGGTGCACACCTGTAATTCTAGCACTCTGGGAGGCTGAGCAAGAGGCTTTATACCGGATCAAGTGGTGTGTGTCGGGAGAACTCGGGCGAGGGCTGCGGCTCTTACCCGGCAGGTGCCCGTCAGTCCTGGGACAGTTTCCACATGTCCTCAAAGTTGTGAGTCTATAAATATATTTTAATACTTAAAGCTTTTACTCTGTGCAGCGTGTTTTATTTTTGTGAATTTGCCAGGTCTGGCTGCTTTGCCCGTCTCACGTAGGGTTGTGTGGTGCAGGCAGACCCAGCCCTGGCTCAGCCCATGGATCTTCCCAGCGGGCAGCCGTCCTGGTGATGCAAGGTTTCTGTGAATGGTGTGGGTGGCATCTGCACACTGGCCTGACCCCACTGTGGATGAAGCAGGGTGTGTGTGTATGTGTGTGTGTGAGCGTGTGCACCGGGTGCAGAGCGGGTGATGTGAGAAATGGCCGGGGAGCCCAGCCCGGGCACTGGTCCATGGGCTTGGGGCGGGTTCGGCAGCCCAGCCAGGCGGAGAGTCAGTTTGAGAGTCAGCCGAGCTCCGGACAGCATCTGCAGGCCAGAAGCGGGAGAGGGGCTGGGCGCTCAGGCTCCGCCACACAGGGCAGTCGGGAAGGCTGCCAGAGGAAGGAGCATTTGAACTGAGACCCAAGGAGGGAATGAGCATTTTAGGGGACAGAAACAGCACGTGCAGCAACAGCTGACAGGAGCAGCCCCTGGTGATGGGCAGGCCCTGTCTGCTCTGTAAACAGTATTTTTCCCACTTTGTTTCCACATGTGGTCATGCGCCTGGGTTCTCCGTGTCACTCACGTTCTCCACACATGGTCTGACTTGAACATGAGGTAGCCCCCGGGTGCTCAGGGCTCCACTCCCGCAGCAGTGTTCAGGGGCGGGGCCTGGTCGTGTGCTGCAGCGATAACTGCCCAGGATGATGAGCGCCCCTTCCTTGCAGCCCCATCACCAATGCCCCACCTCGACTTTGGCTAACCTGAACCAAAAGAAATAAAAATAAGCAGACGAGACTTCTGTGAAGTGTGACCACAGTGGAGAAGCAGCTTATTCTCTCGATTCACACACCCTGGTGACTAGTGAGGCCTGAACTGTGCCCCCAAAGTACATCTGTCAGAGCCCCGAGGATCTGCATCTGGAGACGTCCTGAGGGGCTGTGTCTGCTGAGGGGGAGGTCTGAACTGCCAGAATTAGCATTCATGTAAGGGGCTCTGCAGTGCGGCCATTCTACGCCTTGAGCCACAGAAGGGGCCTCGGACAGCTCCTTCCGCCTGCTGCCTAACGGCCTACCCAGCATCCTCCCATGGCAGCAGAGCACAGAGTGGCTTCTGACCCAAATTCTCCTGGAGCCACCTGGCCACGCCCCGGCTGTTCCCGAGTGCTCTGCGATGTCCCGGAAACAGCTCTGGTCTCTGGTCCAAACTCCACCCAGGCAGCTTACCTAAACTTTGATTTATTTTGTTCCCCAAGATTTTACTTTTCATGGAACCAAAGCCTTTGCTTTTACCCGGGCGAAGGCCCACATCACACGGGAGGAAGCCTGCCGCCCTCTAAGTGTCAGGGTCCTCGAGGCCTCCCTCACCGCACTGTGCTGGACTGTCCCAGGCCCCAGGGTTCCCCTGGCCCTCCCAGCCTCTCCTCAGGAGCCGGCTGCTCCACCTGCAGCCCCCATGGCCTCCTCAGCCTGACATGGCTTGGCCCTGCACCTGCTCCTCTACGGCCTCTGGCCCTCACCTCCTGTTTGCTGTCTGGAGCCTCCTCACCCACCAGCCCAGCCTCCCGCCTGTCCCCACGGCATCTTCCTCCCAGGCTCCAGTCTCACTTGGCTGTGAGCATGGCCTGTCGCCTGGGTGTCCCCTGAACCTGTGGGATCCTGGGGCGGGGACCTGTCAGCTTCCCCTGCAGTCAGACAGGCACGGACAGTGCTTGGCAAATGATTCTTGCAAGAAGCGATCGAAGCAAAACAGAAATGATCTGGCTGTGGCACTGCTGGCTGGAGGTGCCTCAGGGTTCAGCTTTCTTAAAATAAGTTGTTTGACCAGTGCCTGACCCCAGGGTGCCAGAGAAGTCGGCCAGGGTGCCTCCACCACAGCTGTCCCTTGGTCCTTGAAGGAGGAAGCAGCCTTGGGGAATCCCAGGACCTCCCTTGGGCTATGCCTGCCTTCCCTAGTTTGGGGCTACTGTGCTCCTGATCAGAGGACCCCCAGCAGGTTGACCTCCTGCTCCCCCAAATGCAGCTCATTTTCTGAAACTGATTCAGGCTGTGGGCTCTGGGCTGGGATCAGCTTCACCCTCCCTTTGGTGCCCCAGGTGTCTGGGGGGCCACAGTTACTACCAGTAGGCACTAGAGGGCAGCACAGGCCAGGCCCACCAGCATGAACAACTGGTCTCTTCCCTTCTATGCTAGCCAGCAGCAGGGGTCCCTTTCTTGGGCTTCCCTGGGTGGGTCTCTGCCCAAGGCAGCTGGATGGCGACTCCCACAGATCCTGGCCTGGCCCCTCCTTCCTGAACTGGGTGGAACTTGGGGTAGAGCAAGAAAGAATGGACTCCCTGGCCACAACTGAGAATTGCTTGAGCACCTACTATGTGCTGGGTCTGTGCTGAGCTAAGGCAACAGGAAGCAGTCGCCAGGTAAGTTACCCAGGTCAGCTGTTCTGGGCGTCCCTGGAGGGCGGTGGGGGTCTAGTGTTGGGGACAGACCCACAGGCAGCAGCTGGACACTCAGCCCCCTGGACACCTCTCCCTGCTGGAGGGCCTCTGCACCCCCCTTCATGGCGGAGCGAGGCTTTGACAACTGTGTTTATCACAACATTTACAGGAGAGAAGTTCCTTGATTTCAGCACCCTTGCCAGGCTGAGATCCACATTCACTGCACTAGATAACAACCCTCTGGCTTGATCCTAAACCACACTGGCTTTCTGCACAGATTTGGTGACATCCAGGCTCTCCCATCCTCCCGCTAGAGCACCCTTTTGGGCCATTTGACCCATTTTCTGTTCTCCAGCCACTGAGGCAGCATCTAGTGGGCCCCCTGTGAGAAGCCAGTGCCCCAGGCTAGGCTCACAGTGGCCTGGGCTCCGGCTTCCTCCAGGTCCTGTCTAGGGAAACGGCGGGTTCCTCACAAGGGCATTCGACACCCACATGGACACACAGGGCACACACTTGGTCAGACTCCGTGCGTTCACACAGATCCACACAGCGTCTGCTGCCTGCAGCCCGGCTCCGACTGAGCCCCACAGAACGGGAGGCAGGGCCCCTTCCCACCTTCCGGCCAGGCCCTCGCTGGCTAAGAAGATGCCAGGTTGCTCTGCGTGGGGCTCGTTTATAAGCTGCAGTTGTACTGAAAGGCGAGGATCCCCACCCAGACCCCGACTACTACTCTCTGCTCTGCCTTCTGACATCCACAAGACGCCAAGTTCACAGCTTCCAAGCCTCCAGCCCCCAGACCTGCCCAGCTCAGAAACTGTCAGGGACTCACTAAGGTAAATGACAGACAGGCTGTGGCGGAATTCTGAGTACAGTAAGTCCCCAACCTACAAACAAGTTCCATTCTGGGAGAAGGTTCGTGTTGGGTTTGTTCATAATCCAACAAAGTGAGTCTTATACAGTGCACCTGTGATCTTGAATGTTCGTAAGTTAGGGACTCACTGTAGCCACGAGGGGGAAGCCCTCCACGCAGGCAGCGTGCACAGGTGAGCTCACCCTCTGCAAGAGGCCCTGAGACTTCAGGGACCTGACAAGGGCTATCCACTGGCTCATGCTGTGCAGAGCCCAGGGAGGCCACTGGGCACACTCAGTGATTCACACGACAGGCACTATGTCCACCTGATGGCCACTGTGTTCTAGCCATGATCATAGCAAGAAGGCAGGAGCAGCAAGTAGGGACCAAAGCAGAAAGCTTCCCTTTGGAGAGCTGCACCTTCTGTTTGGTTTTCCTGTGAGCCTGAAACTGCCCTACGAGCTGAAGCCTGTTAATATTTTAGCACAAGTAAAAATGTTATATATCACTAAAACAGCAAAGTTGGGTTGGAGGGGCAGGTAGAGGTTGGCTTCAGCCCAGTTCCTGTCCAGGGAAACAGTGGGTAGGTGTCCTCAGGTAACACCTGGCGATTCCTGAGGGGTGAAGGGACAAGTGCCCCACTGGTCAGCAAATGCCTGGGAGCAGAGGAGTGGCAGCAGGAGGGAAGGGGTGAGCAGCCCCCAGGGGGGGGTTGACTGGACAGCTCTGAGGACAGGTACCCCTTACCCTCGGGGCCTCCTAGGGCCTCAAAACTCCACTGTATCCTTCAAGATCCCCCAAATTAGAGAGCCATCCAGAGGATGGGATCTTGATTTGCCCAGCAAGGAGACAAAACAGACAGGAAGACACCTGGTCCACAGCCCCCAGTTGGCCAGGGAGGGGATCTGAGCACCCAGTGCCCAGCAGGAAGTAGGCATGGGGCAGGGGACACAGGTGCGAGCCCCCCAGCCAGCGGGAGTGTGCTGGCAGGTGACAGGTGCTGTGGAGCAGCCAGCATCACCAACAGGGCTCTGTCGGGGTCCTGGGAGCCCGGGGCCTCCCCTGAGGGTCAGTGGGACCATGGGCTTTGGAAATGGGAAAGGCGGACGGCGCTGCAGTAAAGTTGGGGGCAGCGCCAGCTCTCTTGCTGCTGCGGCCTGGGGGCCCACTTCTGAACGACAGAGCTTGCACGGGGACAGGTGCCATGCATGGCCAGGCTGTCAAGGCTGTGCGGTGGCCAGAGGACATCTTCTCTGCTCTTGCATGTGCTGCCCTGGCAGAGGCCGGGTGGCCAGGAGCTGAGGCAGCCTCCTGCCCGCAGCCAGTAAGAACTGGACCTTCAGCCCATGGCTGCATGGCTCCAGGACCAAATCCTGCCAAGCACCATGTGTGTGAGCCTGTAGGTGGCTCTGCCCCGGAGCTTAGCCCAGGGGTGACAGCAGCCTGCTGGACCCTGTCTGCAGCTTCAGAATCCAGAGTGTGTGCTGCTTCAAGTCACTGAATCTTGGGAAACCTGTTACACAGCTGTAGCTAGCCACTGCATCAGGCCGCTGCTGGGGAGGTGAGGATGGGCTGCAGTGCTCGGCCCTGGTGGAGGCTGAGCCTCACCGGGGAGAGAGAGGCGGGAGGCCCCGCTGGTGGTTTCCCCACACTGGTGGTTAGAGTGAGAA